AGGGAGGGAGGCTGGGATGCCACCCACCAGGGCAGCGCCTCTCAGACTCTTACATAACCAGCACAGGGCTCCAGGCCAGCGAGGGATGGTTGGCTGGTGAGAGGCCATGGACAGGAGGGAAGTGCCTGAGGTGCAGAGAGATCCTGGACCCACAGCAGCTGCCCTGTGCAGTACCCAGAGTGCAGGCTGCATGCAGAGGATGCAGGATCTCAGCAGGTGCAGGGTCTGGAGTGTTCCCAGGGATACCACAGTACCGGGGGGCACTGCAGAGACCCCTGGCACAGCCCCATGGAAACTGCCTAAGGAGACCCAGACCCCAGACAATGGGAACATGGAGGGAACTTCTGTCAGAACTCGCAGCTCCCCTGCCCATGGCTTCCTGGCACACTTGAGAGGTCAGTGGGGGGCAAGGAGGGTTCCAACTTCAGGGGCAGGGGAGAAGGCCCAGCTCCCCACCCTGGGCGGCACCAGGTGCCTCAGCCGGGTCACAGCCAAGGTCAGGGGCTTGGAAAGTGCCTATCACAGAGCTTGCTCCGGTCATTGGGGGACACACACCGGGGTCAGCCCTCCTTCACACCCAGTCGCTGTGTCCCCTGGCCTGAAACACGGCTGCCACATTTCCTCCTATACAGCGCTGAGCCCAGAGAGGGCCCTGAGCGCCAATCACCCCCCCCCCCGAAAAGAAACCCCAGTTAAATTCAGAGTAAGACAAGAAGCTGTGGTGGAAACCATCCCCTGGGAGCCACCTGCCTGGGCTGGGACACACTTCTCTGTTGTCCCTACAGGTGGTGAAGGGAAGCACAGGGCCACAACAGGGTGTGGACACCTGGGCTTGGCGGTCCTCGAGCGCCACCTGTTGCCCATGATGGGGGCTTCCTGAGGGGCCTGGGAGGGCGGAGGCAGGAACTGGCAGGGCAGGGCAGGAGGGCAGGGGCAGATGCTAGGCTTGGACGGGAAGGTGGCCTGGGGAAGCGAGGCTCCACTCTCTCAGCCTGGGCCTCCAGCCTAGGCCTCCACTTGCAGTTCATCCCATGCACTCCACAGCCAGGGCCCAGCATGGAGCCACCCTGACCCCTCACAGAAGCCACAGCCCCAGTGGCCTCCCTGCATCCTCCCAGTGGCTCACCTTGACCCTCCGCCTCTCTCCCTCCTCAGCCCCTCCTGCTGCTCCTCGAGCCTTCCCCACCCTACCACCAGGGAGGTGCAGCCATCCATTGTGAGGGCAGAAACCATCTGTGTCCCCAGAAGCCCGAAAAGGGTGGGAGGGGGCAGGTGCCCTCAGCCAACTCTTTCCAAGTGGCCAAGCAGAACCAGAGCAGAGGGGGAGAAAGGGGCAGCAGGGGGAGTTTGCAGCTCACCTACTCACCCACTCCCGCCTCCCTGCATGCCTTCCCTTTCTCTGACTCTTTTCTTCTGTGTAAGGGAGATTGAACCCAGGGGCACCTAACCACATCCTCAGCCCTTTTTTATATTTTACTTGGAGGCAAGCTCTGGCCAAGTTTCGTAGGGCTTCCCTAAATTGCTGAGGCTGGCTTTGAACCTTGGATCCTCCTGCCTCAGCCTCCCAAGCCACTGGGATTAAGGCGTAGCCACTATGCCTGGCAACCCTTTTTGTTTTGTTCCCTACCACTCCTTCCTCTCTTCAGCCTCACCTGGGCTGAGCACTTGCTTCCAGACCCAACATGCACAGAGACCAGCACGGTCCCAAGGACTCACTCCCCTTGCCCACCCCTGCCAACTCGAGGAGCCCACATGCTGCTCCAAATTCCTAGTCCAATGGACAGGCCTGTGTCGTCCAGAGCCTGGACCCCATCTTCACTCATTGGCCTCTTGTCTCCATCAGCCGTGGATCTGTCTCTCCTGCACTCGCCTGGCAGCTCTCAGCCAATCCTCCTGTGGAGGCTGCCCTGCCCTGCCTCTCGGAGCTTCTAGCTGCAGCAGCCCCAGCGTCCTCATCCCCACCCGTGCCAGCTATGGTATCTCACTGCATCCCCCTCTCCAGCCCACCTCCAGGGGCACAGCCTGCCCTTCCAGGCACCCTGTGTCCAGGTGTCCAGTCTCCACTAGCTCTACTAACTCCCTGCCAGCTGCAGCCGTAAGCTCTGGGCCACTGAGCAGTGGTGGGCAGTTCCCCTGTCCCCCATCCCTGGGGATCTTGTCTGCCTCTCCTGCATTCCCCAGGTGCACCGCAGCCATGGCCTCTGCCCAGAGAGCTAGGTGGCTTGTCCCTGTTGCCCTCAAGGCCTGCCCGAGTCACCTCAGAGGGAGGACTTCCCTACTGCCCTGCACAAAGCCCCCACTTTCTCATGGCACTTGTGGCCACTTGTCTCCTTCATGTCCCACCCCAGCAAGCTCTGTGCCCTGGCCTGGGCACATGGCCATGTGCACGTGGGCAGGGGCAGGACATAAGAGAAAGGGGTGCTGAACCAGGGGAGTTGGACCTGTGTGGTGTGGTGGCCACACTCTGGAGGATGGCCTAAGGGCAGGGGCTGCAGCCCCATCACCCTGCCCCCAGGACTTGCAGACCAAGTGAAGGGCCAGCGTCCGAGGGAAGGTGGAGCAGGGGCAGCTCCCCCAGTGGCCAGAGAAGCCAGCCAAGGACAGAGGAACGGAAGAGGGACAGTGCTCCCTCCCTCCTGCACAAGGAGCCACCTGGGGCTCAGGCTGGAACTCTGCCCATTGGAGCCCTTCTGGGCCCCTCCCGAGCCCCCGCCAAGCAGCACAGAGCATTCCTGGAAGAGCCTGCGAGGCCAGGGAGCCCAACCCCCAGGCAAAGGCCCCCTGGGCTCCAGTCAGCAGCAGGACAGACCAGGAGCCAGAGCCCTCTGATAGCAAGGAGGGACCATGTCTGGCAGCCAGCCACATGTCCCCACCCACCCAAGGAACAGCAGTTGGTGGTCACCCATGGGTTGACCGATTGAGAACAGGGCTCAGGCCTGAGGCTCCCCAATGGCACAGACCACCAAGCTCAGTTCCCAGAAGCTGCCAACATGTCCGAGAAGGCCCAGGGCCCTGCAGAGGCACCCCTGGGATCTGCAAGAGACCCTGCAGCCCAAGAGGTGGGACCCAGCCCAGACCACACCCATCTCCCCAGCCCTGAGCACCGGAGCAGGTGAGAAGTCTGGAAGGGGTGAGCAGGTGGGCACTCAGCCTTGGGGACAGGCATCTGGGTCAGGACAGGCCCCTGTGTCTCCTCAGGCACCTCCCAGTCTCTGACACTAGTCTCAGAAGTAGAGGGACCTCAGCAGTCAGCCACCCCTGGGGCTTTACAAGGCCTTTCCCCACCCAGCCTCCAGCCCTCTGAGCACTAATTAAACAAATATTAATTAAAACAGCAGAGTGACAAGAAAGGCCTCCCTCCCCAGCCTGTGCCACCACTGCCCAAGGGACCTCCAATCAGGAGTTCCAGGGACAGGGTTCTTCCCCAGACCCTCACTACGCAGACACAGCACACCGCACAGCGCACAGCGGCTTCCCACGGCTCTGGGCCTGCGTGTGAGCCAGGGACACAGACCCCTCCCACTGGGGTGTCCCAGAAACCCAGCGCCCCCTCAGGGGAAAGAGAAAGAGCCAGGCCCAGCCATACCAGAGGGAGGTCCTAGAAGTCAGGAAGTGGGAGTCTAGGAGGGGCAGGAACGGGGAGAAGGGCAGGGAAAGCCATGCAGAGGAGGGAGGTGGGGGACAGAAGAGCCAGGCACAGGGGATGTGAGCACCCCAGGGGCTGAGCCCTCTCATTGGGCTCCACAGAAGTGAGCCCCCTGTCCTCCCCAATGCCCAGCACTGGCGGTCCACCCACCTGGGGGCTTGGCCTGGAATCCAAGGGGCCCCCAAGCAGCCCACCCCCCACACGAATGCTCTTTTTCCTTAACGTTCATGATTCAGCCAAGGCCCCAGGGACCCAAGCCAGGCTCAGGGGAGGCTCTGAAAAACAAGATGCCTTGTCCTCAGAGGCTTCCTTCTCAAGCAAGAGAGACGTAAACACCTGTGGTGGCTCCTGGGCGTCCCAAGGAACGGCCCCTGAGCATGGGGAGCACCAGTCCCCCCAGGGGCAACTCTGACACCCCACTGGTGTCACTGGTGGGGCTGCAGGTCTCCACAGGGCCACAGAGGGCTTCCTGGGGAGCACCCCTGCAGAGGGTGAGGGTGCCCACCTGGGAAGGGCACAGGGGCAGTCTCCACACCAACACCCCTGGGCCCCCCACACCTAAGGTCCCAGGCCTGGGGGACGCTCAGGAGCCCACTAGCCACTGCCACACTCAGGAAGCCCCAGACTCAGGGCTGCCTCTTCCTCCTCTGCCTTCGGCTCCGGCCCCTCCTGTGTCTCCCCACAAGTGCCAGGCCATGGAGACAGTGAGAGGTAGGAACAGCTCCGCCTCCCACCTCTCCTTAGAAGGGCGTGGGCTGGGCTCTGCACCTCCAGGGACCCCAAGGTCCCAGGAAGGAGAGCCTCTGGGACTGGGGCCATACCAACAAGCTCTGGAGCAGAGGTCCCACGGCCCTCACTCCCTCAGCCTGCAGCCAAAGAAACGGGAGAGGGGCCCTGGGGGGCAACCGGACAGATGGAACCACTGAGGCCAGTGGGCATGGGGCAAGCAGCTCCCTGGACTCCTGGGCTGCTGGGGCGATGGCACGTTGGCCATCATAAGGACGAGCTGAGGAGGAAACTGGGTGGAGGCCCTGGTTGTGGCCTCAAGGGAAGGCAGCAAAGAGCTTGGAGGGTCCAGGTGGCTCTAGGACAGGAAGAAGCTCAAGGGCCAAGTGCCCCCCAGATCCCAGGCAGCAAAGCCCTCCCCTCCTGGGGAGCCTCTCCCCAGCAGACGCAGACCACAAAGCAGGCACCCTCCTGGTCACTGTGGCCGTGGGACCCAGCAGCTGCCTCCCCGGTGACTCTGCAAACAAGCCTCTCCTGAGCCAAGAGCACACAGACAGCTGCGGAAACCTCCATGCCCCACACCCTGGGCAGGGCATGAACACCCACACAGGGCATGCAGGCCACCTACCCTGTGAGGACCACCACGAAGTCCATGACGTTCCAGCCATTCCGCAGGTAGGAGCCCTTGTGGAAAGCAAAGCCGAGCGCGATGATCTTGATCCCCGCCTCAAAGCAAAAGATGCCGATGAAATAGGGCTCTGTGTCATCCTGAGGAGAGGCACGGGGCACTGGTTACTTCTGCCCTCCCTGCAGTGGCTGGGGCAGCAGGCCCTGTCTGATGGCCACACCCACTGTCCCAAGTCTGATCCTCCTGACCAGCCTGACACACCCAGACTCCTCCAGCCTGGCATTTCCACCACTAGCCTGTGTGTGCTCATCTGCATGTGCCCCCTAAAGGGACACCCCACTGCTGATGGACAGCATTAGTGTCTCAGCTTCTGCTCCAGCTCAGAGCACCCAGGGCCTGCTCTGCTTGAACCAGTGAAGAAGGCAATGAAGACAGTGAGGTGGAAGTGGGTCTCTATCAACTGTGGACACCCTGCCAATGCCCTCCACTGCTATCTCTTTCTAAGAAGATCTGTAACTGGGCAAGGACCACAGCTAAACCCAGCAGCCACCTCAGCTGACCACGGGGCACAGTTATCTGAATAAAACTCAGCCTCAGAACTCAGTCCAGGGCCCACTGACACTTTCAATACACACCTGGATCAACAGAACCTGCAAACACTAGCAGGGAACAAACAGAAACACAGAAGCAAAACCTGCAGCCCTGAGACCATGGGAGCAGTGGCTTCTGTGAGGACCCCCAGGACAGGAGCTTATTCAGGGCCAAGGTCCTGAAACCGACACAGCTGGACCTCAGGGAGGCTCCTGGAGGTGTGGTGTCAAAGGGCCAAGTTTTCCATGGCCAGATTTTGAGGAAAAGAACTCCAGTTGAAGGAACCAGTGTGACCAAAAGGAAAGAAGATGAGAGATCCTAGAAAGACCCCTGTCCTCCACCCCAGGCAGTGACTTGGTCAACAGGTTCTGAGCATCAAGCTGGAGCAGGCCATTTTGGTGCTGAGCAAGCAGCGTGGAGCTTGGGGAGAACAGTACCACATGAGGGTGCAGCATGGCAAGTGACAGTGCTTCACAGGCCTAGGGACAGTGGCAAAGAGCCCTGGGAGCTGGATTTGGGGAGCTGGACCTGGGTACTGGACCTGGGTAAGGGACCTGTGGAGTTGGACCAGGGGAGCTGGACCTGGGGGGCTGGACCAGGGGAGCTGGACCTGGGTATTGGACCTGGGAGCTGGACCAGGGGAGCTGGACGCGGGTACTGGATATAGGGAGCTAGACCAACGGAGCTGGACCAGGGGAGCTGGACCTGGGGGGCTGGACCTGGGGAGCTGGACCTGGCTACTGAACCTGTGGAGCTATACCAGGAGAGCTGCACCTGAGGAGCTGGACCTGGGTATTGGACCTGTGGAACTAGACCAGGGGAGCTGGACCAGGGGAGCTGGACATGGGTACTGGACCTGTGGAGCTAGACCAAAGGAGCTGGACCAGGGGAGCCGGGCCAGGAGAGCTAGACCTGGGGAGCTGGAGCTGGGGGGCTGGACCTGTGGAATTAGACCAGGGGAGCTGGAGCTGGGTACTAGACCTGGGGAGCTATACCAGAGGAGCTGGAGCTGGGGAGCTGGGCCTGGGTACTGGACGTGGGCACTGGACCTGTGGAGCTATACCAGGGGAGCTGGACCAGGGGAGCTGGAGGTGGAGGGTCAGCAGGACTCACTCAGCAGCAGATGAAGAGGAGCTAAGGAGCAGGCCAGCTCCCAGAGCCATGGGCATAGTAATTTTCCTGACAGTGAAATTCACTGGAGGAACTTCCCTCCAGAGAGCTGCTCTGTCCTGCGGGGCAGGGGTCAGAGTGGCAGGGCTGGACATTGGCTGCAAGAAGCTGCCAAGTGAGATGGGACTACCAGCCCCCAAAGCCTGAACCTTTCTCCCAGAAGCCTGGCTCCTGATGGCTCTCCCCAGGGGATGAGGCAGGACATAAGCTCACAGCAGGGGCCTATGGATGCTGCCAGAACACGAGGGTTCACTATGGCCCAGTGCTCCTGCCCTGCAACTCTGATGCTGACTCATGACAGGGACAAGGCCCCTGGAGGAGTGTGTACACTTTCTGTGACCTCAAGCCTTCTTAGTTTGAAGCATCCTCTTTCCCAAGAAGAGGAGCCACTGATCATCTGCCCAAATGGAATAGCTGGGCCCAGAGGACACATCTTCTCAGAAGGCTTATAGACAGAAAAGAAAAGTGCAGGCCGTACTCCAGGGCCACTGGGAAGGAGACACTACCCCAGAGCTCTCCTCTCAGCTCATCCCAGCCTGGCCCTGGACCACCACCTAGGGGTACAGGCAGCCATGGGTGTGGGTGGCACTGGACTTCAAGGGGCTCCAGCCAAAGGCAAATCAGGAAGCTGATGGGTGGGTGGGAAGCAGAACCCCCAGATGAGGAGCCAGGAAGGCTGCACCAGAGCCTGGCTAGCAGGCCACTGAGAAATCCACCCAACCCATTCAACCCCCCTGCTGCCCAGACAGCAGTCCAGCCTCCAGACCATAGTCTAGCTCCTGTCTGTCTTCAGACCCTTGAGGGCTGGACCTGCATGCAGGACCGGGGTCAGCAAAGAGGTCCTCAGACCTCCATCTGGGACACATTCTGCTGATTCTCCCCAAAGACAGCCCCCATCCAGAAGCACACATCCCCACCTGCCACCCAAAGCAAAACTGCTGCACCTGTGAGGCAGAAGTTCACATGGCTGGATGCCAGCTGGTCCACAAGAGGACCCTGAGTCTGGCCACTGCACTGGTCTCCCTGCACCAACCCCAGTCTGACCCTTGGCCTGAGTCTCTCTGGCCCTACTTACCAGACTTCATGAAATATGACCATGCCTGTGCCCTGGACCTCCAGCTTCCTCCCCCTTTCACCCTCTGCTCTGTCCTCTGAAGCACAGCTCGCTACCAGTAGGAGCTAGAGGTCCAGAGGAGGCAAGAGACCCCATCAGCCCCATGCCCAGGTACCCCCAGGGACCATGATGGCCTCATAGCATGGTTGATCTGTGCCCACTGCCACCACCCAACCCACATGGCCTTCTGTTGTCCTCCAGGAAACTCCTCAGCTCCCAGTGTCCACCTAATCATCTCCCCTTCCACACCACAGTGCCAGGAGTGGCTAGGTGGCCAACCAGAACTCAGAAGGGCACTGGGCCCCACAAAAAGCACCTACCAGGCCATATCTCACATCTTCACTGAGTAGGAGTCGTGAAGTGGCAGCCAGGGTAGAGGGAAGACAGAGCAGAGGCTGTGCCCTGGGGGACCTCATGCCCAAGCCCCCCTCTCCAGGCCCCTCTAATTGCCTTCTTTCTCTGCATTCTGAGGCATAGCAGCCCACACCCAGCCCACACTGAGCCCAAACAAAGGGGCCTGGCAGGAGAGAACTATGGGTTTGGAACTGTGCCATCAAGTTATGCTCACTCTGATCCAGCCCTCTGACCCAGAGTCCACTAGGCTGGCCTTCAACATCTGCCTCCTACTCTGCCCAACATCCTGCAGAGGTCCTGCCCTGGCTCCTGGTTCTCACAGGCTCTGTGGTTCAGCACAGATACCACAAGGGACTGGAGGGCTCTTGGCAGGAAGCTAGGGGTAAAAACTATTCAGAACATTTGGAAAGGAGGACTTCTCCAGGAGGGGCAGACCCTGTGGGAACAGGGTTCTAAAAAGGCCACAGAAGATAACCCTGAAGGAGGACCCCAATCCCCAGACTCAGGGTTGCACCAAAAGAGCCCCACCAGGCCTGCAGGGAAGGTGGGCAGCTGACCCATTCTCCCCAGGGAACCCATTCCACCTGACATTCTCCTCTCCATATGAACGCTCTCCCTCGCCCCAGGTTTAGAACTTAGATTCTCAGATGAGAGCCCAGAGCAGCTGCCTGGATGGCCCATCTTTGGTGTGGGGGTGGCTCCAGGAACAGAGCAGATCAGTTGAGCTGGACATCTCAACTTCCTGACCCTACAAGGAGGAGTCAGCTGCCCAGGTTCTATCCTGTCCCCTACCTGAAGTGTGTGGGGTGCTTCCCAGCTCAGGCACAGATTCTAAAGAAAGTGAATCAGACAAGTTGCCACCATCCCACCATCTGGCCCCAGACCCCAGCGCCAGCACTCACCAGGCGCTCCGACATGGGCGTCTTGTCTCCGTCAGGGAGATGCTGCTCCAGGGCCAGCACGATGCAGTTGGCGATGATGGTGGCCAGAATCATGTACTCAAAGGGAGTGTGTGGGTTAAGGACTGGCCAGGAGGCGCCACAGCGGCAGAGGCCGGTGGCCGTGCAGTGCAGCAGCCTTGGCTAGGCGTCTCCCGAGGGCTGAGGATGGTGGGTCCTGAGCCCACCACGTCCACGGACGAGGGTTGGTCTCTTTCGCTGCCCACCCGCATCCCAGGGGACCGCCGAAAGGCGGGGCCTCTGCAGTAGCAGCCGCCAGCCCCTCTGCACGTCCGGACGGCCGTCAGCACCACGGACAGCGCCTCCGCCCAGATCCGCCCGGGCGGCTCCCCAAGGCTGGGGGCTGTGCGTTCCCAGAGCGGCAATACGAGACCCCCGCGCAGGCGCACGCTCCCACCTAAAGACACGCAGCCACAAGTACCTACACAGGCACGTGAACATACATGAACCGAGAATCTCGAACGCACGCACGCGCAGCGCGGGACTCGTGCTATGCCCGCACACGCACACGCAGGCACCTGCAGCCAGCACGCGCACGGGCCCGCATCCACACGGTCTCACACCTACACAGACATGGATTCGCCCTCGGGTGCCCTCCATGCTGGCCGCGAGCTCTGCACCCCGACCAAGCTCCCCAAGGCCAAGTGAACCAAAGGTTGAGCCTTAGGGCGGAGGGGCTCCGCCCAGACCCCTGGGGCCAGCTGGCCGCCGCCTTCAGGACCACACAGACACACACACACACACACACACACACACACACACACACAGACGCGCGCGCACGACCACACGCACACACGCGCAGAGACCGGCCTCGGAGGCCCCGCCCCGCCCCCTCCTCGCCGGTCCGCGGCGTCTTCGCTGCGCCTCTCCCGGGTCGCACCCTCCTCCTGGCCCGGAGAAAAATGGCCACTGGGCGCCGCCGCGACCGGCCCCAGTCCTTGCCCTCGGTCCAGACCGCCCCTCCCAGACCTGGCAGACGCGGAACACGGACGCCGCGCCCGGTCCGCGCCCGGTCTCTGCCCTCGCGACCTCGGCAGTCAGCCCCTGCCCCGCCCGGCCCAGTCGCTGGCAGGATATGGCCACTCGGTGATGCGCTTGGCGTATTTGCGGACGACGTTGTCCTCGCTGAAGACGAAGAGCGAGCGATTGACGGTGAAGCAGTTCTGCTTGACCGGGATGGGATTGTACAGCGCCATGGTCCGTGCGCGCTGCGCAATGGACTGCTTGTAGAGGACCCGCTGGCCCGGCTGTAGCCCTCCGGGGCCCGGGCCACCCGCCCCGCCGGCCCCGCCGCCCCGCGCCCTCTCCCCGCTGCCGGCGCCCCCATAGCGGCCGCCCAGCTCGTCCCCGAAGCGGACCATGGCTCCGGGGCGCCGCGCACATCCCCAGCCCGGTGGCCCCGGCAGGGAGGACGCGGGGCGCACCAGGCGCTCAAAGCAGAACAGTCGCCAAGCTGCCGGGACAGAACCGGACCTCGCCCGGCCCGGCCACCGCCGCACCCGACTCCGCGGCCCCGCGCCACGCCCTATAAGGGGCCGGTCACGCGGCGGTGTCTGGCCAATCCGAAACGGCCCCGCCCCCGGACTCTCCGGCCCCGCCCCCGCCTGGTCGCCCCCACCCAGTCTCCACCGCCCTCCCCAGCCGCTGGCCCTCGAGGCTGCGCCTAGGCTGATGCTGCGGCTGCGCCCGGGTTCCGGTCGGTCGGGAGAATGTGCGCCCTCCACGCGTCCCGCTCCGCACACGGGCTGGAAGCCACCAGAAGCGAACCGGTGCGCTAGAGTCTTCGACAGCCGCACTTGGCGCCGAGCCATGCTGTCCCCAGAGTTCACTGCCCGACTCCTCGCATTCCACCCAAACCGACCGCGCTCTCCAGAGACGTCAGCAGTGTTGAGATGCACCAGTCCGAAGAGAGAGGACAGGCTCCAGGTTCCCCAGTAGGTCCACAACTCACTCTTCCCTGGAGGCCGCATGGACAGCTCCTCTGGACTTCTCTGCAGACCTCCCGCAGCTTCCCAGAAGGCCTGGTCTCCCAAGGGCAGTTCTGGTCCTAATGGTTCTCCGATATTCTTGCCCCAAGTTTTCATGACACAGCCCTGTCGAGGGCTCCCAGCCCTTGTGCATACACCAGACACTGAATTGGCTACTAGATCTCAATTCTGACATTCCGACATTAATTCAATAAGAACCAAATAATGGTGCCCTCGCACCACTTTGTCCATCCATCCATCCTCCCTCTCCCCCAAGCATTTTGTAAGCACCCATTTGCCAGGCACTGGTTCCTCCTTCGTGGAGGTGACATTTTTACACCAAGGATAGCAAATATTTACATTGCACCTGCTTGGTGCTAGGCATGATGATCACACACATTTGCTCCAGGTCCCACAGCATGCTGGTGAGAAGTTTTCCCAAATCACTCTTGGTGGGTGGTAGAGGAAGCCAGACAGGGATCCTCTTCACTCTGCCAGGACAAACATCCTGAAAACAAGCTTGCCAGCCTCCTGGAGGAGGCCTTTCTGCCTTGGGGTCGGGGAAGACTCCTTCCAGGAAAGGAAGGATTCTGGAGCACACCTGAATGCTACAGAGGTGAGGCATGCAAAGCCAGGCCAGGCAGAGGACCGTGGAGGTCCATGAAGACCACATGTCAGTATCTGGCTTATATTCCAGAGGAACCTCTGGCTGCTTCGGGAGCATGGAAAGTGGCAGACCAGATGTGGATCTACAGAGCCAATGGCTCTGTAGAGGAGGTGGAGGAACCCTGTGTCTCCACCCCTGTCTCTGTCCCCTTATCATCCAGGCAGTCAGAGGTAGGCAACCCAACTTCATCTAGGAGCAGCTTGTACAGTACAGTCCTGACCTCACTGATGAAATGTCAGTTTTAGAGACTGTCTTTCCATCCCCCTCCCTCCCCCGATCAACACAAGCACCACACTCTGTCTTCTTGCCTGCCGCCCCTGGCCCAAGGAGCTGCCTCAGCACTAAGCATGACACCTCTGCATCACCATCTCAAACAGGAAGGGCAGGTGTAAAAATAGTACCCACTTTAAACAATCAATTTATGACATCTTTTTATAATGAAGAAAAGGCTTTTTCATAAGGCTTGAACTTCATTAAGCAGACAGGACAGCTGTCATCCCCTGAATGGGCATGAAGCTGCCCAAGTCAGGGCTCACTTCTCCGAGAAGTAGGAGGGAAGGCTGCCATTGACCCATTGCAGAACGGAGAAGCCAGCTGGGGGTCTTGACTGCTGCCAACAGAAGGGTAGTGTGGTTTGGATACTGGGCCATGGCTGTGACCCCTTGACTGTACACCAGAGCCCACCAAATTGTGGATGTGGAGGTTAAATGTGGAGCAGGGATTGGGGAGTTCATACAGTCAGGAGGCACATGCAGAGGAGGAGGCAGCTGGTGCAGTGAGGAAGTGAACTCAGGTATGTGGACAGCTCTTCTGCAAAGGGGAGCAGAGACTGAAGCAATAGTTAGGGAGAGGCCTGGCGAGACTGAGCGGGTGGGTCTGTAGGTAGCACCCTGTATGCTGTGCTCATGCTCGGCAGGAGAAGCTGCTGATACAGAGGGAACATGGTGTGGTCTGTACAGGAGGCACAGGCCCTTCACTCTTGCAGAGTGCAGCCAGGCGCTGGCTGACGGCACCACTTGGGGAGGAGTGGTCCTGAGTGCTCACCCGGGCATGTGCGGAGAATGAACTGCAGTGGGATACACAAAGGGGCTGGGCGGGGAGCCAAGGGCCAGGGCTGGATGTGAAGGCTCACACACAGCCGTCGAGTGAATGAACTGACCAGAGGAGCCTACACACATGCTCCCCAGCTCCCTGGGTCCTCATCCTACACACCTGGCAAAATGCAGACTACAAACCTCCGGGGACACACCTACTGGTTCCAGCTGCTGCTGGTCACACAGGGGACAGACCGGCACATCCATGTCCCCCAAGAAGACTGTGGGTCCCGAAGTCAGTGCTGCCCCTATGCTACATGATGGCAGCTGTGACCACGGCCACTGTCTTCCAGACTCTACACCAAAAGCCAGCCTCTCTGTGGTTGCTCCTGAGATGTCCTGGCAATGTTCCCTTCTTGGCCCCACCTCTGGCACTGGGTTGGGTCCTCTTAGGGGAGTGGAGAGGTAAATCTACAAGTTTTTCTTTCTTATATAAATAATGTCTATCTTAAATCTAATGCAGGGCACTAATGGCTCTGCAGAGGAGGCGGAGGAACCCTGTGCCCCTGTTCTTGTCCTCTCATTGTCCAGACGCCATTGCACACACTCATTCTGCAGAGCTCTCACTGTGCTCCACTCTTAACCCTGTGCAACACAGGTGCATGGCTTTATGTGCTTCTGAGTTCTGCATCCAGCAGCACCACATGGTGCTGCAGGGGCTGCCACACACCACACCATGTGGAGTGGAGGGAACCCGTATTGCTTCCCATTCCATCAGGATGGAGATTTGTGCTGAGTTCTCCTGCTCTCTGGTATGAGGCAGGAGCTGCAGATGCAACCCCAGGAGGAGGATTACTGGCCATCGGTGGCGCCTCTACACCGGAGCCTCAGGAAGCTGCTAGTGCAGGCATGGGCAGGGGTAGCACCAGAACACAGGCAGATCTGTCCGCCTCACATCCTCCCCAGCACTCTGTAAGACCAGCCTGGTAGGCATGTCAAGTGCCCCCCTTGGTTTAATATGCATCTCACTGGTGACTAATGAAGCAGAGAAGCTTCTCATGCTTCGCGGTGAATTCCGCAGGTTGACAGTGCTGCTATCCTCCAGGATGGCACAGGGAGTCTCCTGCTCGTTTGGTGATCGGGTGGACCGTGCAGCCCTCACCTCACACATGAGCCAAACTCATCCAGCTCTCCCTCTCTTCTGCTGGGTGTTGAGTGCATGCTCTCCTTGACTTCCTTAAAGTCCGAGTGGTCTTGCTTTTCCTCCTAAGCCACTTGAAACTAGTTCTTCTGCGTGACAGGAGGCAGGCAGGCAGGGGTCCGCTTCCCTTGGGGATGCTCAAACTCTCCCTGCAGTGTGTCTGCGTCCCTGGTGTCTGGGCCCTGCCCCAGGCAGGCAAGGCGCTCCCTGACGCTGCTATGTTGGGGAGTGCTGTGGAAGGACCCCCCACCCATCCTGAAATTCAGGAGCTACTTCTACCCCTTTCACCACTTCAGAACCCACCACTCAGGCGACACACACAGAGCTGTTGACAGCATGTTCACAGAGCAGCTGGGGGCAAACAGACGTCCTTGATGCTAAGCTTCCAACACATGAGCAATACATGTGTTCATTGATCAGGGTCATTTTTAGCTTTTATTAAAAATTGGTTTTCGTAAAAATTTATTTTTTTAAAGTTCAATTTTTCAAACACATTTTTACAAAAGCTGTGCACATTCACATTTACTCTGGGGGGTTTTATCTGATTGCATACTGTAATAAAGGATTTCATTTTAAGCTGTTATTCCAAGACAGTTCTCTGCTGATTTGACAGTGACCTCACTAAATATTGTGGCTGCTTCTAATAATTTGTTGTCAGATTTTTGCTTTCTGTGTAACCATGTGGACAGCAAGTTTCACCTCCTCTTTTCCAATCCTCTACCTTTCACTTCTGGCCTTCTTGTGCCAGCTCAGAGGGGGCGGTGCAGCAGCCTCACCCAGGTCCTGCTGCCAGGGGTCTTGTTTCCACCCGCACCTTGGCCAAGTGAATTGTTTCTGCCCTCATGCTCCAGTCTTCCCGAGCAGTGACCTGTCTGGCCATTACTTTCTCTTCCTTAGCCCGCTGACAGGCCCACCACCTCACTCGGGGTGAGCCAGGATGGCCATGCCACCATCCACTTCCACCACCGAGGTCAGGCTCTCAGACAGTCCCTATGGGGCCCCAATGCCCAGGCCGAGGCCTCCAGACCAGGCTGCAGTGCTCCCCCAGGCAAGTCCACGCTGGGTGCGGGCTGCAACCTGGCAGCCCTGGTGATTCCAGCCAGGAGCCGCTGCTTCAAGTTCTGTCCCTCAGGTCATTGATCAGTCCACCTTTCTGGAAGGTTTTTGGCCTGCAGTTGTTCACCACAACTTCTTATATACACTGTACATGGGACTGTGTCCATTTAAAATTCTTATTTCACTTATATTCCCCAGAGATTTGCCATTTTATTAGACTGTCAAATGATCAGTGTCTGCCTTTGACTGTCTCTGAGGTGCTTTCCTCTCCTCTGCTACCTGCCCCCACGCCCCCTGCTGCCTGCCCCCCACACCTCCTGCTGCCTTCTTTGCTACGTGCTCTCTGCACCTCCTCTCATCTGTTTATTTTGGTTACTTTTCAGCCTTTGTGTTTTTAAAAAGAAGCCCACATAAGACATTTTGATAATGGACAGGAGCCTTGCAGCCCATCGAAGCCTGCTGTGCCACATCGGCTGGGGGGGACCACACCTCCCGGGCCACTCCTGGGGGTTTCCTGAAGCTTCTTGGACTGCCTAGAGGTCAGGGTTGCTGTCATCCAACTTCTCCTGCATCTTCTTGCTGG